GGCATGTTGGGGCTGCCCTCATGGAGGACATAGTATTAAATGAGTTAGCTCACTGCTCCTTTAGGAAGAATGATTCATTTGTTCCAGGGGCTTTCCTCTGCCCATGCCTAAGCTTTCAGTGCTACCCTTGGCACAAACACAACCATTTTTTGACAGTGGCTTTCAGGTATCCCCCTGGATGGCCTCATCTTTCCCAGGGTTCCTCCATGCTCCCTATTCTCCAGTCCTATTACCATCGTGTGTCCTGAGCACAGCCTGCTCTCTAAGTCTTTCAGGCCACTCTATTCCTGGGCATAGATGTCCAACGCTTTCGTATGCACACAGGCCTAGCCTGATTGTTTGAGGAACAGGAGGTGTCAGTAAGCCAGAAACCTAGAGACAGGGTTGCTAACAGACTTAAATAAAATGCACTCTATCCTTCGGCCAACATGCCCTCCAAGCAACAAATAAAAAGCAATATGCAAATTTGTGGGTTTCGGTTTTGGCTAGGTAGTCAATTAATGGTTTAGAATATAGAAATTGGAAATAGCATAATAAGTCTATACAATTTTGGCTGGGTGTGGGGGTGCACTGCTGAAGTCCCACTTTTCAGGAGACCGAGGAAAGCAGATGGAAGGTTTCAGGGTATCCTGCACTACATTGTGAGTTCCTGTATTTAAAAAAAAAAAAAAATTTACACAATTCACTGATCATTATATATTCATTCCAGAATGTTTTCCTTCCCTCTGGTTCAGCAAAATTATTGAGTATCTGTCAAGTTAAGATTTAAAGATTTATTTGTAGTGTGCTGATCGTGACTTCAAAGATTAAAATGTCTAAACTATGTAAAGTTTGCATATATTTTCATCAAGAGGACAAAAGAGTGTATTTGTCACATGCCCCAAAGTTACCTTCTTTAAGCCTGGTATGGTCATGTGCACATACATTCTCAGCTATCCAAAGAGCTGAGAAGGGAGGATTGCCTGAGCTCAGGAGTGTGTAAACAACACAGGCAACATAGTGTATAGGACCCCATTTTAAAAAGAGAGAAAGAAAAGAAACAAGTAGAAAAAGTTACATTTCTTGAAAAAGCCATCAACATTACATACAAAAAAAATAAAAGGTTCAAATTACTATTAATGGGCATTTAATTTCTTGTGTACATGTATGCATGGTGTATGTGCCTGCACATATGTGTGTGCCACACCTGCCCATGCGGAGGGCAGAAGTTGATGTCAGGGTGTTTTTCTCCTCCTTTATAGGTGAGATGGGGCTCTCATGTTGCTCGCTGGTTTAGGCTCGCTTCCCTGCTCAGTCAGCTCCTAGTCTCTGCCTCCCCAGTGATGGGGTTACTGGGTGGGATTTTTTTATTTGGGTGTTAGGGATTCAAACTCAGGTCCTTTTGCATGTGGCAAGCATTTTGTCCACCAAGCTGTCTCTCCAGCACCTGAACATTCAGCCTTTAAATGAAACCACTTAGGTGAGTCCATAATAGTTATTCACTCTTTTAAAATACGCATTTTTTAAAAAAAATGTTTTCAAGGCAAAAAAAAAAAAAAAAAAAATAACCACAAGTTTAGTGTCCATTTACTGCCAAGTAAAGAATCAACGACCTGTTATGTAATGCTGCATTTAGACTTTAATGTGAGCAAGTCTAAGGAAAATGCAAATTGTCTATTAAAAGCTCTGTTCCGCTCTGGTGTGCGGCAGCTCCCATGTTTGTCCTTAAATACTTTTACCACATGGCAGGCTTGGCTCTGTGCCTGAGCAGGTGTGAGTGGTTTTGTGTGCGGTGGTGAGGGCCTGTGCAGGGAGCTGTGTGGGGGAACACGGGTGGGCTTGGAATCCTTAGCGTGAGGTGGACAGGCAGAAGACATCCGGAGGTGCCACAAGTGTGGTAGAGAAAGAGAAGGGAACGGTGTGTGCACTACGAAGAGAGATGGAACTGGAGATGCGAGTGTGGTGAGGATCAGCCTGATGTTGATTACGCTATCACCTGGGGCCATGATGAGGTCCTAGCTATGTCTGGGCCCGAGGACCTTCAGCAGCAGGGGCCTGTGTTAATAATGTACATGCCCCATGTTTCCACCAAAGGCCTTGCGGATGTCCCTGGAGCCATCGTGATGTCCAAGGGCCAAAGATTCGTTTCCAAACCTCACCAGCTGTGGCACTCCAGAGAGCCGGTCCTGCCCTTTGCCTGGGCAGCATAGTAGAGCCACAGTAGAGGTGGCGTAGGTGCAGGAGAACTGGTCCTGAGGGCATGAGCGTGGGAGAGCTGGCACGGCCTCTCAAGGGCTGCAGCACTCCTGTGGGCCACCTCTTGCCTGGGCAATGAGGTAGAGCTGGCCCTGGTGGCATGGGCTGGGAGAGCCGACCTTTAGGGTGTGAGAGCCGGAGAGCTGGCCCTGCCTTTCGCTGGAGTGTGAGAGCCGGAGAGCTGGCCCTGGTGGCATGGGTGCAGGAGAGTTGACCCTGACAGTGTGAGAGCTGTAACACCAGTCCCTGCTCTTGCCAGCCTGCACAAGCCAGGGAGCTGGCTTCACCCCTTCCCCTGGGCCAAGCAGGAGAGCTGGCAGGCCCAACAGCACAGCTATTACCTAGGCTCAGATCCAGGGCCTTGAGTTGGCACATCCCAACATCTACCTCATCTATGAATTGTTGGAGTATGTTTAGGGGACAGCCCGGCAGACCCAAAGCTGCAGGAACTCCATGACATCGGGCAACAACAGGATAATCCTAGAGGAGTCCCAGCGAGGATCCGGCATTGATAGTTTTGCAGAAGCCAAAGGCCTCAAAGCAGACCAATGACTCATTGCAATGAACATTTCTAAGAAAAGCTTATACTCTGTGACGTACCATGACACACCACAGCTTCCACCGAGATTTTTTTTAATGTTATTTTTTTTTATCTTTTTTTCATTGTTTTAATTTTTACTTTTTGTCTTCTTTGGAGGGGGTTTGCAAGGGTGGAGGGCAGATATGTAGGGATGGGGAGATGAATGGATGAATGGAAGTGGAAATTCACAAAGAACCAATAAAAAAGTTTTAAAAATAATATATTTTTATCACGCAGTCTTCCTCCACACTCAGAAGCAGAGAACCACAGACATCACACTTTTTAGTGACAGCCATCTCTGGCTTCAGGCCATGGAGCAGAACATCCTGGGGGCCTGGGCTGTGTTAGTCACACAGCAAAAGGACAAGGCTGAGACCTGATGCTTAGAGGCAGAGAGGTGTTGTTTATTTTCGTGTGTTTAAGTGTGCGTGTGTGGCAGGATACAGAGGCCAGAAGAGGACATCGAGCGTCCCACTACCGTTCTATCCCTCCCACTTTATTCCTTTGAGGCAGAGTCACTCGCTAAGCCTGGAGCTAGAGTGGCAGCTATGGAGCCCATAGGCCCTGGCCTCTCCACACGCACGCTCTCTGCTATGCCTGGCCTTTTCTGTGGGTGTTCCGATCCCAACTCAGGTCCTCCTGTCCGTACAGCTGTCTTGTTCACTGTGCCACCCTTCCACCCTTGCCTTCGCTTTCAAAAAAAAAAAGTGAGATTCTGAAGTTCAGTCACTAGCCATGGCAAGGGCACCTCTTATCTAGATTTGAGGGTGGTTGTGGATGCATGAAAAATCCCTTTGATTATTGAAGAACATGTGAAGACCTCTGCTGTTGTCCCTGGGACAGATGTCCCTTAGCACTGGGCATTGAAATACATGCTTAGAGGAGGCTGTCTCTGAACGCAGCGGCTGGCTCTTTGATCACCTCCCCCTGTGGGGAGCAGCCTTACCAGGCCACAGAGGAAGACAATGCAGCCAGCCCTGATGAGACCTGATAGGCTAGGGTCAGATAGAAGGGGAGGAGGACCTCCCCTGTCAGTGGACTAGAAGAGGGGCTAGGGGAAAAAGAGGGAGGCATCGAGGGATAGGTAGGGGGCAAGGGAAGGGGCTACAGCTGGGATACAAAATGAATAAATTGTAAATAATAATAATAATAATAATAATAATAATAATAATAATAATAATAA